ATTTCAGTCCCTTTTAAGGTGATTTTTGGATTCTCTGATGATTTTCAAAGGTTGTGGTTAAGTGATGTGAAATACTGCCATTATTTTCTATTCTCTATCTTTTCCTTACTTTGTTTCATTCCGTGTATATATATGTTTTAGTTAGTTATATGATAGATATAGTTTTCATTTATTAAATCCCTTATATTCACAACGAATTGTCTCTGTTTACTGTTCACAGTTCCAAGTCAATGAATGTTTGAACCCTCGCTACATTTTGCTAAGAATTACTGCTAGCACTGTACAAAGAAGGACAGTTTATCGTTCCGTGGTCAGAAAATAAATATTCCTTGAATTGATAAATGATTATATTGTCTGCTCGGTGGACGGACAGATCAAATAATTGTAATATTGATTCTGCTACAGTTAATTCGAATATATAATCTAAATATTTATTATGAATCATAACCAGTTATAATTCGTCATAAATATTCCCCTTTTTAGAGCTAATAAATAATAATAAACGTTACAAATGTTTATTTATATATTTCACTTAAGTCTATTGATTTTCTTATTCAACTTGCTCTTCTAAACCAATATTACTAATAATGGAGTGATGTAATGTGACATAGCAGTGAGCAACATTTATGAGTGACAGAAAAATGCAAAATGTGAATCAGTTGGATCATGATGCATTCTATACCAGAATATAGGCAGACTATATGTGAAATTACAGAAACAATGTGTGGATACAAAGATTGTCATTTAGGTATTAATCCACAAATGCATCATATGAGCTTTTGCCGAACTATAGCTCTGTAGGCAGTCCAATGTAAGACGATAGTATTTGTACCACTGCGAAAACTAGCACAAGTAGCTAAAAAATGCTTATAATACTGAGTGAGAAAGAGCTCTCTATTTCTGTCAAAATAAATAAATAAATAAAACATCTTTAAAGGGTGGGGGTACAAAGCTGTTTCATGCATTCAGAGTTTTTTACACTGTTAAAGAGTCGGATTCTCATGCTAAGCATGGACAAATTTTCAAAAAACAATTTGGACGTATGACAGAGTATTTCTGTGCTAAAAATCTTACTTCCGGGTTTGGCTCTTCATGACGTAGATGAGGGTGGAACTCCTTATATGGGCATTTCTCCAGGAAGAACGCGCCCGCACACGCATTGACCAGAGCAAGAGCAAGATCGCACCCATCAACGCACAGCGCTGCATGGGACTCGCTCGGGAAGAATGTCTCCAAAGAAGTGTGTTTTTGGTTGTAAGGGAAAGATAACTTTGTTCAGCTTCCTAAAGAACCCAACTTTATGTAAACAGTGGATGCAGTTTGTTTTTCCGGAGCAGCGATGGCGTTTCACAAGTGTGTTTGTTGACGAAAATTTTATAAGCAAGGCCCAGTTTGATGCTGGATTTGCACATCGTTTAATACTGAAGGATGGAGCGGTCGAGCTATAAAAGATCCCGGTTATGATTCAGAACGGTAGACGGTAAGTGAAACTGCATCAAATGTCTGTATTTTGTTGGCAAGTGCTCGTCAATCTTTAGCTCTGCCCACGGCGCGCCTGCCAAGGATGCAGTACTACTCTATAGGTACTCAAGATTGACATGAGATTGGGTGAAACTGTGTGTGTTATCTCCCCTTTAAAATCTCTGAAATGTGCCATGCTCAGTAGGATGGCAAAACAGCAAATAAAACCAAGTGTACTAGAGATCATCCATGTTCATTTTCAAGGGTGTAGTGAATAGATATCAAGTATGGGGTGTGGTACTGGTCAGTGGCAATTATGCTGAGACTTTTAACTTGAAGGATTTATAGAGATAATCTGAAGTTCAGAAGTGAAAAAGAGATGCTGTGACAGTCATGTTCCTCACAAAATGCTCCATTCTCTAAATATGGTAAGACTGTTGAAGCCTCTTATTTCCTTTTTAAAATGTTTATCGGAAAAAGCTTGGTTATTGACATATGGCATTACATAAAATCGCTTTTTATAAAAATGTCTGTCAACACCATATATGATGTACTTTATACACGATGTATGAAGCTGAAGTGACTTTCGTATCACAAACACTTGAGAAGTGTAACTGCATGTGTCCACTTGTATTTTAAGAGGAACTTCAATTAGATATTTTGTTTGTTTGTTTTTTTATAAATCATTTAGATTTCATTTAGGGATCAAATATTGCTGTGATCACACTGGCTACAACTTTGTGGAATAAAGACACAGATGAAGAAAGTGGTAGAAAGTCTGTGTCATACTTAATATCTTTAAAGGGATAGTCCAACCAAAAATAACAATTCTGTCATCATTTACTCATCATCATGTCGTTACAAACCCTGCAGCATTTCTATTCTTTAATCACTACTGAAGCACAGGCTCCCTATCAAAAAAGTGTCAACATAATTTAATCTTTTATACTTCCCATATTTTGAAAGTCGGTTAGCTCAAAACACAGCATGATTGCTAAAATATTTTCAAGGAAAATGGTTCTCAGGTTGTTATATAGTAATCTCAGCTGAGTTTTTTTTTTTTTTTACTGGGGCACCCTTAAATGGTATATATACTTAATGTGTGTGTGTGTGTGTGTGTGTATATATATATATATATATATATATATATATATATATATATATATATATATATATATACCTTATTCTTCAACACGGAAACACGGAAATGGGCGAGATTTCCGGTTCATTAGCCGCTGGGTAATAATGAGAAGAATTACAACATGCAGTAAATGGCAAAACTGTTTGCACTACAAACCAGTCTGTTCATAATTAAGATAATACCTTAAAATAATATGGCAAGACACACCAATTTGCAATATCAAGCAGCAAAATGAGCAGTTTTGTGCCGCTAAATATAGCTGGAAGCGAATGAGACAGGAAGCAAGTCCCATAGAATTTACAAATGGCCACGCCCATTTTTATGGGAAGAATAAGGTGGTTACAATGGAAGTCAATAGAAACTGAAACTGTTTGGTTACCAATATTCTTCAAAATATCTTCTTTTGTGTTCAACCGAAGCAAGAAAGTCATACAGGTATGGAACAACATGAGGATGGGTAATTGATGACCGAATTTTCATTCTTTATATTTGGATGGACTATCCCTTCGATCATTGCTGATGGTTAATTACTATTGATATTGCACTACAGAAACCAATATATATATATATATATATATATATATACCTTATTCTTCAACACGGAAGTAAGCCTATGGGCGAGATTTCCGGTTCATTAGCCGCTGGGTAATAATGAGAAGAATTACAACATGCAGTAAATGGCAAAACTGTTTGCACTACAAACCAGTCTGTTCATAATTAAGATAATACCTTAAAATAATATGGCAAGACACACCAATTTGCAATATCAAGCAGCAAAATGAGCAGTTTTGTGCCGCTAAATATAGCTGGAAGCGAATGAGACAGGAAGCAAGTCCCATAGAATTTACAAATGGCCACGCCCATTTTTATGGGAAGAATAAGGTGGTTACAATGGAAGTCAATAGAAACTGAAACTGTTTGGTTACCAATATTCTTCAAAATATCTTCTTTTGTGTTCAACCGAAGCAAGAAAGTCATACAGGTATGGAACAACATGAGGATGGGTAATTGATGACCGAATTTTCATTCTTTATATTTGGATGGACTATCCCTTCGATCATTGCTGATGGTTAATTACTATTGATATTGCACTACAGAAACCAATTAGCCTATATCTGTCCCAAAAGATGAACTTAAAAATCCACAGAAATCTAAAAAACCCTTCATGACCATTCTGAAATGTCAAGTTACAAAAAAAGTGACTTTCTGCCATTGCTGAGACTTCCAGCGTTTATTCTGCGTGCGCACACACACACTTAGCTGCACCTCCTCCATATCGGCTGTTCTCTCTTAGGGCCGGCACTCCACAAACTCCAGACCAGCAACGGAATGTCTCAGTGCTGGCAGGATCAAAAGCACCGGCCGTCTCCCTCACGTCACCTGACCGGAATCCAATTAAACCTTTATTGGGGGATCAGAGTGATGCAGTGTCTGCATGAGTGTGTAAGGAGGCACAACCTTGGGGGTGACTGAACAATTTTGCATCTTGATAAATGGTCAGGGAAGGAGTGGGGGGCGCACACACACAAACACACACACACACACACACACACACACACACACACACACACACACACACACACACACACAAGGGACCTGATGTATCTCATTCACAGAGTCCCCGGGGCAAATCTTTTATGGTTCCAAACCTAATGAACATCAGATGTTCTTATTTAAACAACATGCCACATTTCGGCTATAATAAAGCTTCAAACACAAAGGTCAATATACTAACTTTATACAATCAAGATGTTTAACATTCTCGGATTGGACAACACACACACACACACACACACACACACACAAGGGACCTGATGTATCTCATTCACAGAGTCCCCGGGGCAAATCTTTTATGGTTCCAAACCTAATGAACATCAGATGTTCTTATTTAAACAACATGCCACATTTCGGCTATAATAAAGCTTCAAACACAAAGGTCAATATACTAACTTTATACAATCAAGATGTTTAACATTCTCGGATTGGACAAAGAACTTCACTATTAAACTGAGTTAAAAGTCTATTTGAGGGGCAGGATGCTCTACTTCATTGATCTTAATGTAATGGATCGCCACAGACAGCTGAAGTCTAAAGTTACAAAGTTCCATTACGCTGATAATTCAATAAACAGCCTTCAATGTCAGTGCGAAACGCCGAAGCGTAAGGTAGAGCTGAGATCACTGATTCAAATGATCGACTCCCCCGGGAGAGCGGTGACGTCACAGCGGCGGAAAGCCAGCCAGGCATCCCGGAGGATCCGCGCGCCTCCTCCACTCACTGCCTGAGCGCACGAGCTCTGAGTGAGTATTGTGGATAGTCTCTGCACGCGTGGCCGCGTGGAATCCTGCTCACGAGGATTTCGGATGTGTAAGGAAATGTAGGAGCTACTACACCATGAGCCGGATTTATTACGTGTTTTGACTGAATCTCCATTGCGAAGATATGCTCACATACTCTTTTTGCCAACACATCCTGGAGATCATTTAGACGCAACTTCGGAGCGGCGGCTTTTGCCCGCTGAATCTGGTGAGCCTCTTTCACAACAGCTTTTCAACGAATGCAACTACTTTTAATACAAAATGCATTGCAGAAAAAAAGGCAAAACAGCATTACTGCATCTACAACTGTTGCTACAACCACTACTCCTTTACTTGTGCAACTTAACCAGCAATAAATGTCACAATTATTAACACCGTCATTACGCATAATAGGCTATTATATGGTAATGCATAGGCAATGGGCACACGCAACTGGATGTAAGCATTATAAAGTGAGTTGCACAGATTGAGGTATAGAGCGCACAGCTTCGTGGATCGCTCGCGCTCTTGCACAGCAGTGAGACAGCGCCATCATTCGCGAGCAACAGAGTGCATGTGCCGTGCTTGGGGCCACGCTTTTAAAAGGTTTTCCGTCTGGCGATACAACTTTTCCCCGGTTTCCATGTGGTATGGGACGTTGCTTTGCATTTTTTTTTTATTAAATAGCTACACCTCAACATGTAAAGAATGCATGTAGTTCTCACGGTTTCATTGCAATACCTGCACGGTAAGTGATACGATTCGCAACACAACAGCAAATATTAGCAATAACAAACTTCTTAATTGAGCAATTATTGCCTTACGAAATAAAGACATTGTAAGCCAATAATAGAATAAGAAAAAATGACAAGAAGTAGCACAAAAAAGACAATAGAACTAGGATTAAGTTCTTGCTTTTAGTTTTCAGGGTTCTTATAGCAAGAGGCTTAATCATCGAGAAAATGGTAATCAAATGTCACTTTGATTTGAATTAGATATAATATTAAGCGATTAAAAATTATGCTGACATGGCTTTCTCTTTTCATGTTTGGTATCGTCTGCAATTACACTGGACGATCTAATCTATAAATGTGATATTTTGACACATAACGAATGCAACTACTTTTAATACAAAATGCATTGCAGAAAAAAAGGCAAAACAGCATTACTGCATCTACAACTGTTGCTACAACCACTACTCCTTTACTTGTGCAACTTAACCAGCAATAAATGTCACAATTATTAACACCGTCATTACGCATAATAGGCTATTATATGGTAATGCATAGGCAATGGGCACACGCAACTGGATGTAAGCATTATAAAGTGAGTTGCACAGATTGAGGTATAGAGCACAGCTTCGTGGATCGCTCGCGCTCTTGCACAGCAGTGAGACAGCGCCATCATTCGCGAGCAACAGAGTGCATGTGCCGTGCTTGGGGCCACGCTTTTTAAAGGTTTTCCGTCTGGCGATACAACTTTTCCCCGGTTTCCATGTGGTATGGGACGTTGCTTTGCATTTTTTTTTATTAAATAGCTACACCTCGACATGTAAAGAATGCATGTAGTTCTCACGGTTTCATTGCAATACCTGCACGGTAAGTGATACGATTCGCAACACAACAGCAAATATTAGCAATAACAAACTTCTTAATTGAGCAATTATTGCCTTACGAAATAAAGACATTGTAAGCCAATAATAGAATAAGAAAAAATGACAAGAAGTAGCACAAAAAAGACAATAGAACTAGGATTAAGTTCTTGCTTTTAGTTTTCAGGGTTCTTATAGCAAGAGGCTTAATCATCGAGAAAATGGTAATCAAATGTCACTTTGATTTGAATTAGATATAATATTAAGCGATTAAAAATTATGCTGACATGGCTTTCTCTTTTCATGTTTGGTATCGTCTGCAATTACACTGGACGATCTAATCTATAAATGTGATATTTTGACACATATTCACCTTTTATATTTATATTCACCTAAGACATAAACAACTTCGTTCACATTAATAATGGCGAAGTTAGCATCTGAATGAGTTGTGTACTGTTCAGTTGCGAAAGCTTTTCACAGAGCACACAGAGCACACAGTCGCAAAGCGCAATAATGTTATAGAAAAAACGGGCATTGATGTATTTTATTTTATTTTTCTATCGACTTGGTAGGCTACCGAAATACCGGTGTTACTTTGACATCCTTATTGATAAGTAATGTAGGTACCGCGCAGGGCTTTATCATGACGAGTATCTCAAATGCTGACAGCCATGGAGATCATTTCTCTGCTTTTGTTCCAAAAACGCATGATTCAGCATATTTCTTCATTAGAGACAGAGGTTTGGCACTTAAAATAAAACATCAAAGACTTCTCCCGTCCCACTGTGAGGGGAGAGCGACGGCCGTTTCATCTTCATGCCAATAGGAAGTAGATCCGTGCGCTGGGCAAGGAGCGCGGAGTGATACTAAGAGCGCTTTGTGTGTGTGTGTGCGGATCGGATAGTTCAGTGAGCAGAGAGAGCGGCTGAGAGTGTCTGTACCATGCAGAGATTCGGAACTTATAAACTTCATGAAAAGCCACCAAACAAAGGACGTTAGGACTGAAATAGGTATGTACGATTTCGGAAGTCTTAAATTTGCGTGAGGGCTTTTTGGACTTGTTCTAGTTTTCTGTGCTATTTTCAGAAATGCGTAAAAGTTTCAGTCAGCTCGCGGTGTAAAGTTGCCGTTGGGAGTTCTCCACTGCTGTCCGTAGTGGAAATAGGGCAGCTTTGAAGTTGAACGTAGCTTGGCAAAGCTGTTGGAATACTCAGTGTGTTGAGTTCCAGTTGAATTTTATAAGATATGCGGGTGCGTTTATGTTTTAAAATGAAAACGATCCTCGTCATGCTGGCGTTTCCACTGCATTCCAAGCTGGCTTTCCACTATCTCCGACAAGCGACAGGCCGGTCATTCAGTCATTAATTTCCAATGGAGAGTAGCGCGGGAGCTGCGTGGAGTTCCGATCATATGCAGATGTCTGTTCATACTACACGACCGAAAGCGCGTGTTATGTGACCATTCATGCAAACTGTAGCATCATGGTACATAAGACAATAAATAAGATTTATATTCCGCTTTTACTCAAAACTCACTTTAAACCACCATTGAGTGTTTGTAATAACTTCAGATTGCCGTCTAATGTGTGTTTTGGCCATGTAATGTTGCTGAAATTAAATATGTTATTACCTCTGACTCTTGAGTCAGAGCAGCGATCATGGAAAAGAGAACACAGGCAGACAGCGCTGGAAGCCACTAATGCTCATCAGTAAATCAGTGGAAAATAAATAGAAATCATGATTCTGTCTGCGCAATGCGTTTTAAAACGAACACACACTAGTGTAAATATAGCCTAACAGATGTGTAAACTGAAGACTATTTGAGCTTTATTAAAACTATTTGCACTGATTTATTGTGTTGGTTTCATTTCGTTCCTTTGTGCAGTGGCTCAGGAGATGAGTCTTTGAGGTTGTATAAACATCAACAAGCTGAAAAATAAAACCAAAGGTTTTTTTTAGATAATGGTCTCTGACCCTCTTATAGACAGCAACGTAAGTAACATGATCAACGTCAGGGGTTCAACCGTAATTTTACAAAGCCAAGAGAACACTTTTTGTATGCAAAGAAAACAAAAATAATGATTTTATGCAACAATTCGCCTCCTCCGTGTCACCGTAGCGCCATTTTGGAGACCACACGGATACGTTGCTGTGTGGCGCGGCTGACACACAACAGCATACGCTGTTTGCGTTCAGTGAATGCTCTCCAAAATGGCACTACGGTTTTTGCATACAAAAAGTATTCCCGTAGCTTCGTAAAATTACGGTTGAACCCTTAATGTCACATGGATTATTTTACCGATCTCCTGGCTACGTTTCTGGACGTTGTTAGTGTTACTTACATGCTGTCTATGGGAAGGTCTGAGAGCTCTCAGAATGCATCAAAAATATCTTAATTTGTGTTCCGAAGATGAACGGAGGCCTTATGGGTTTGGAACGACATGAGGATAAGTAATTAATGACAAAATTTAAATTTTGGGGTGGAGTAACCCTTTAATGGGTTTTTGTGCTGAGCTAAATGAGTAATGTACAAACAGACCAGTGAAACATCATGCATAAAATGTTTTTTGCATGCATGCAATTAATGTCTGGACTTCATGCATAACACATCACCAGGTTAGTCATGGTGGAAATGGATTACTAGTTGTACTGTAATTCATATCAAGGTGGCCAGTAATTTTGCAGTTTCCTTTTTGAATCCTTTTTGGGAAGTCTTGCTTTCTTGGGTGGTAAATTTAGCAAGACAGGATGTGCTGGCATAGGGTTGTCCCCCAACAAGACCATCTGTTGGCCATTCTGCCTGCCCAGTTTTATGGAGATTGGGCTTTGCTGCAGTTCCAATGGATGGAAGCTTAGATATTTTGATTTGGGTAGAGAAAATAGTTATATGGACTCTTGGGTGGATCAGAAAGTTACAGACCTGCATGAGTGTGGTGGTGACACCTCTAACTCTTCTGAACTTACAAAAGCTTTGCAGGGCTCAGCAATATGGATGATCAATATGGATGACATGGGGTCAGTGTAATAAAGTTTTGAGCCAGTTATCAGAACTGTCACTTTTACATTCATCAATATTGTAGGCTATATCCTTCTATCCTTTCCTTAATGCAGAATAATCTCCATATCAAAGTTTTAATTTAATAGTCACCGTAATGTTTTGTGGTTGTGAGCATTGTCAATTGAGAGTCCACTCAGCACCACCCCTAACTAGAGATGTGGGCCACCAGGAGTCTCTGACCTTCTCCCCCACTCTCTGACCCCCAAATTGATCTATCTGCTCTGTGGCAGCCATGCCATTGTCTTTTTCAGAGTCCCATTGTTAAAGATCATAGCCAGGACTGTTAGTAAAGCAAATATGCCTGAGGTAACAGCAGCTCTCTTGGGAATGAAAAGATTAGAAGAGGGATGGGTAGGAGGTGTTCAGGTTTGAGGTCACTACATGTGGGATGAATATCACGTTTCAAGCAAGGAATTAATCTTTAAACCAAGGCTAGAGAATAGTAATAAAGAGCCATTTGTTGTTTTGAACTAAATGGGTATTTCGAGAACGTGGGGTCACCGTTTAGTCATGTTTTATGAGAATGAACTCCAAAAGAAAGACTGAGACACATCTGGGCCATATTTGTTTTTTTGGAC